GCACTGCTTCTTGGGGGTTACTGTTAACACAGTATCAAAAGCAGTGAAAGTGAAGCATTGAATTATATGTGTGACCCCTCTGCCCCCATACCCCAGATCCTTTCTTTGAGGGTAAAAACAATTAGGAGCAATTGAAGGGGACATACAGTGGGCATACAGTTTAATGATACACAATGGTGGCAAATATACTGCAGCTGCTGTTTAGGTCGGGCAAGCAGCCAAGAAGCAGACACAGCTGTCTGAGAGGTGGCAGTTTGATGGTAAACAATAGATAATCTAATACAAACACACTCAATTAAGAAGACCTTATTCCTAGCATTTATCTGAACATCAAACAAACTTGCTAATTTTGATTGGTTTGATACTTACTTATTAGATGGTGCTTTGAATCATTTTGAGTCCTTTCTGAAATAGAAAACAAGATTAAGTAGCAAAATGGATTGATAAAACCCTATCAAAGTTATCTTTAAAGTCAGAGCTCTATAGAAAGGACTCCAGTGTTGCCACAACAATAGAGAATCTAGTAATCCAGGTCAAGTTCAGTTTGCATAATTCATAGATATTCACCTTGAGATCACGGTACACAAAGCAAAGGGGTTCTTTTCAAGCCTAAAGGAAGATTTCTATCAACACAATATAACCTTTGTCTGACATCTTTGGTACTCCCTTCCTCATTTCTGAGGCATGAGAACACATAGACCTCCAATATAATAATGCAACCCACAGGTGCTCCTGAGCTTGTGGGTGGCCACAGGGAGAAAATACTCTGGGTGAGATGAGAAGTGTTCATTGTGAAACAAAGATTGTCTCTCTCACTTCCTGCCTTCTCACTCAACACTCATCCTGCACAGTGACCTCCGCATTCTTTTCTACAGTCCCCAATCAGAAACTGACCTGGGACACTTGAGAGGCATGGAGTTATACATCAATGTATACACTGTAGTGGCTGTTTCTGGCTCTGTGAGATAACCTCTGTGACCAGCTTTGTTCCACAAGGTGCCTTTTCTCATTCTAGGAGACAATCACCTTCTCAAGAATACCCAAGCCTTCTTCTGTCCACGTTTGTCCTTACACAAACCAATTTCTATTGTGAACATAAAAAAAAAAAATTCTCAATATCCTCTCAGAAAGATATTTCAAAGGAAAAACAAAACAAAATACTTGTATCATATCTCCAAATTTTACTAATTATCAGTATGGACATAGTTCTAAGACATATTTCTTTTGTTGTTGTTGTTGTTGTTTTGAGACAGGGTTTCTCTGTGGCTTTGGAGGCTGTACTGGAACTAGCTCTTGTAGACCAGGCTGGTCTCGAACTCACAGAGATCCACCTGCCTCTGCCTCCCGAGTGCTGGGATTAAAGGCATGCACCACCAACGCCCAGTTTAAGACATATTTCTTTCCTCATTTCACAAGCAGTTCCCTAAGCACTCTTGGGTTCAAAAATAAAGGAATATTTTTACTCTTTCCTGGAAATCACCATTTCACTAAATGAGACTATGTACTCAGCTTAAATTTTAAAAATTTAAAAATTTAAAAAATTAAAAAAAATTAAAAATCCTAAAAAGAAATGTACTTGACTTCTACAAGGGAAAAACAACCCCAAAAGAAAGATATGATTTCTGTTTTGTAAGGCACTATCAGCTTTTATGGAACTTGTCATGTTTTTATATAATACACAGGGAAAGGAAATGTGTGATAAATGAGAGACATAGACTTTACAAAGCAAAGGTATAATTGTGATAGGTATGGACGTGGATATTCTGAAACAGATGAGAATGGCATAGCAAGGATGATGATGGAGATGTAATAAGGCTGGACCTGGGGAGATGTGTTACATGTGTGAGTTTGAGGGTCTATGTTGAATCTTCAGTGTCCTCATAAGAGACAGAATACAGCTCCTGTCTGTAATCCAATGCTAAGGAGACAGCAACAGGAGCATCTTGGGTTATCACTGACTAGCCAGCCTAACAATTCAATTAAGTCCCAGCTTCACTGAGAGACCTTATTATCTCAAAAAATAATGTGGAGAGCAATTGAGGAAGACATCAGCCTCTGCCTTCCACATACACACATGTACAGACACATATATGTACACATGAATATACGTGTGCACTTGTACACACACACACACACACACACACACACACACACACACAGATGAGGCAATGGAAAGTAGGGCTGCTCAGCTTGGAAAGGTTCCTTCCTGAAGTGACCAAGGAGGGTAGGGAGAAAGCTCTGGAAGGTCATTATGTATTTTGGGCAATGGTCTCTTATTAGGCATGTGATTTTCAAACATTTCTCATGTTCTGTGAGGTGCCTTTTCACTCTTGGTAACGTCCTTTGATGCAGAAATGTGTTGAATTGTGACAAAGTCTACTCCATCTTCTTGAATTGTTTTATGCTTTTGTAATCGTTTCTAGGAAATGATGACATAATCCAAGACCAAGACTTAGTTTTCTTTATGCAGTTATATAGTTTGATGTAAAAGTAGTTTTGTAGTTTGATTTCTTATATTTAAATCTCTGTTCAACTTGGAGGATTTTTTCTTATTATTTGACGATTCCATTCACATATATAATGAATTTTGCTCCTCTCCAACGCCCCCCACATCATTTCCTTCTGACACATTCTTCCCTCTCCTGCTGACTTACTTATTTACATGCAGCAGAAGGTTCAAATTCAATTTCAGCATAGGTATATACAATTATGTGTCAATATCATTTGTGCTGGGGTTATTTTTCCTTCTTTCTTTTTCATTTTTGGTGGATATTTTTTCTTTTGGTGCCAGTGATCAAATCATGAGCCTCCAGTGTGGCGCATAAGAGTGCTACCATTGAGCTAAGTTCCCAGATGCTATCGTTAAATAAGACTTTTCTTTTAAGTAAGTGATTTTTAACTCAGTTCTCCAACATCAGTTGAGGGCCATGGGGCAAGGTGACACATACCTTTAAGCCCAGTATTTTAAAGAAGAGATAGTGAGTTTCAGTGCAGCCTCGTCTACACATCAAGTTCAGACTGGCAAAGACTACATAGTGAAACACTGTCTCCAAAAAATCAAGCAAAACAAAACAAAAATAAACAACAACAACAAAAGTCAATTCTTTTGTTGTAGAGATGGTAGAGATGCTCAGTGGTTGAGAGCATCAAAACCATCTGGAACTCCAGTCCCAGAGGCACCAGTCATGTATGTGGTACACAGACATACATGCAGACTAAAACACCCAGGCACAGAAAATAAAGATAATATAACAAGTCAACTGATCATATATAGAATTTCATTCTATACTCTCAACTCTACTAAGCTGATCTCACCACAGCATTCAAATAACTATAGCTCAATAATGGGTTTTGAAATAGAGAAGTCTTAATCTTCTAACTCTCTTCTTTATTCAAATTACTTTGGCTACTCAAGGTCTGCTATACAATATGATGTGAATTTTAGAATTAAGTATGATTTGATGGAGATGATGTTCAATCTTGGGGTCTGTCATCTGTTATAATAGTGAGTCTTCCCAGCTGATGACAACTGGGTATTTTTACATCTTAATTTCTTTGATGATTCATGCTAAAAATCTGCTGCTTATATGAACATGACTTTTACAAATTCTAATCAAATAAAAGTCAACAAGAGAAAAACAATCAAGGAAAAAGAAAGCAATGTTGCTGTGATCACTTTTGAGCCTATGAAATAAATGTTTTAATTTCTAAAGGCCTGATGAGGTGGTGCACACCTTTAATCCCAGCACTCAGAAGGCAGAAGCAGGTAGATCTCTGTGAGTCTCATGACAACATGGTCTACAAAGAGAGTTCCACAACAGCCAGATCCCGTCTCAAAAAAGACCAGTAACTTCCATTACTTTTCTTCTACTGTTCTTGACCTCACCCTTCTCTCCCCCTACACAAATACTTTATGTCCTCATGACTGTCACAATGAGGAAGATGTGGTAGACTGTGGAAGTGATACAAGTGGTCCAATTTCTAACCAAAGCACCCCAAGGCCTGGATTGTCTCTTTCACAGAAGCACAATGAGAAAAGCTATAGATGGGCTAGGGTAGAGTACTCACCTGTTACATTGATGGTTATTGCGTGGCTATTAATAACCTCAGAATTAATGTTTGTAGAACATCTATATGACCCATTGTCCTTGAGATGTATTGGCTCAAAATGGAGAATAAAAACTGAAAGCTTTTGGTTTTCATCCCAAGTAGTGTGTTGATGAGGTCCAATCACAAGAGGTAAAAAGTTTTTTTCACTGTACTTGTACCAAGTCACATTAGGTCTGTGAACACAGTATGTCACAGGACATTCAATTTTAAAGAACTCTCCTGCTGTGGCATGTTTCGAATGCCTGCTAGGGGTAAGTTGTACTTGACATGACTCTTCACCTGAAACACAAAAGCAAAACTGGAATCAGCATGATCTTCTAGAAGGACCATAGATACCACAGCAATTATTTCCACCAAAGAGTTCTTATGCATAATTCCATAATATTCCTCAATACTGTTTTTTAGTACTTTACCTCCACTAGCCCAGTGTGGCACATAGCTGGCACATAGTAAATATCTGCTTTAAAAATAAATTATTTTACTGGGTGGTGATGGCACACACCTTTAATCTCAGCACTCTGAAGTCACAGGCAGGCAGATCTCTGAATTTGAGGCCAGTCTGGTCTACAGAGAGAGTTCCAGGACAGCCAGGACTATGCATAGAAACGCTGTCTCAAGTAACAAACAATTAATTAATTAATTTTATCCTCTCCACAAAATAATATGATGAGTTCTGTTTTACAAATGAGGTTGAAATACTACAGAATTTGCCCATGGTTACATGTTAGTAATTAGGGAAGTTGAGACTTCAAAGTCATAATAAGGCCTTTACTGTGTAATTTATTAGCATTACTTTGTTTGTGTTACTTCTTGGCTAGTAACACATTTTCTAATATCAGCACTGCTATAGTCAAGCTTCAAAAGGAATTATAAAAATCACTTCCCTATAATACTTGGCATTAGTAATATTCTTCCCTTGTTTTTTTCCTTTTGTTTGTTTTTCTTTATGTTTATTGTTATTTTATTTAGAATTGATTTTTTTTTATTTATTTATCCTTCTCTCGTACGATACATCCCAACTACAGTTTCCACTTCCTCCATGCCTCCCAGGTCCCCCACCCGCACTTCCCTCTCCACCAGATCCACTCCTCCTCCATTTCCCTTCAGAAAAGAGTGGACCACCTAGATATCAAACAAACACTGCCTAACAAGATACAATAAGAATAGTCACAAGCTCTCATATCAAGGCTGGAAGAGGCAACCCAGTAGGGCTCAAAGAATCCCAAGAGCAGTCAAAGGGGTCAGAGACACCCATCCCCACTCTCACTGTTAGGAGTCTCATAAAAACACCTTGCAAGCTAAACAACCATAACATATATGCAAAGGACCTAGTGCATACCCTTGCAGGCTCCGTGATTGCTACTTCAGTCTCTATGGGAACCTGGAACCTGAGTCCTACTTAATTGATTCTGTGGACCATGTGCTCCTGGTGCCCTCAATCCCTCTGGTTCCCATAATCCTCCCTCTCCCTCCTCTATGTGGTCCCCTGAGCTCCACCTAATGTTTGGCTATGGGAATTTACATCTGCTACCATCAGCTTCTGGAGGAAGCCTCACTGAAGACAGCTGGGCTAAGTACTGATCACCAGGAATAATTTCATTGATTTTATGGGGGGGGGAGGTGAAGGGCAACTGTATTTGCTTCTACCCTAGGCCTCTGGGCTAGCCAGTCTCCAGTTCCTGGCCATCTAGGCAGTGTTGGGCATGGACACCCCTCTCCTGGTGTAGGTCTTAAATTAAATCAGCCATTGTTTGCAGTCATTTCTTGGCCACTGCCACAAGTTCTGTGCCACCGTTGTCCCAGCACATCTTGCAGGCCTGACAGATTGTAGATTGAAGGTTTTGTGATTAGGTTGGTGTACCTGTAGCACTACTGAAAGCCTTGCCTGGCAGTTTACAACAAGCCTATAGCCAATATCAAATTAAATAGGGAGAAACTTAAAGCAGTTCCACTAAAATAAGGAACAAGACAAGGTACTTGAAGTTCTAGATAGAACAATAAGACAACGGAATGAGATAAAGAGGACACAAATTGGAAAGAAAGAAGTCAAGGTTTTGTTATTGGCAGATGATATGATAGTATGCATAATCATTCCCTTATTTATCAATGGTTTTAATACTGTCTTTCATTTTTCCCATGAATCTGGGTGAAAGACATGCAACTAAGAATAACTATCACAAGGAGGATGAGTTCTGGTAACAGCTGAAGTTTGTATAATTTACAAATCAGAAAGAAAAAAACAGCACCCAAACTCTTTAGGAAATACCTACCAGACAGATATCTTGGAAATATGTCTTATTTTGTTTGGGTGAAAGTGAGCTTTTCTCCTGGAAATGTGTCTTTCTCCAATGACTTATGAACCTTGAGATAATAATTGCCAAGAGTTTATAAAAACAGCCACACAAGCCAGGAGTAGTGGTTCATATGGATAATACCAGTCCTTAAAAGGCTGAGGCAGAAGGACTGACTGAATCACATAGTAATTTTCAGGCCAACCTGTGCTCCATAGCAAGACACTGTCTTAAAAAGCAATACAAAGGAAAAAAAGCAAATAAAAACAACCTACAGCATAGAAAAACTATTTAAAATTCCTATGTCACTGAATAAGTTATTTTATCATTAACTTATGTATTATTTTATCATTAATTTATCATGCACCTTGTAATCTTAACACATAAAATAAACTTGAATCCAGGCACATGAAGAAAATGTTCTCTAAGCAAAAAAGACAGACAATGTAAGATGCCAAATTTACCTCACTTTACACACAGTTCTTACAATTTCATTATCATTTTCTAATCAACCTATAATTGTGTTATATTAAACCACGAAAATCATAAAACTTAAAATTATGTTTAACCACACACCTTTCTTGAAACAAACAGGTATGTAATTTGGTCTACAAAACCTTCTACCAGTATGGGTATTTCAAAACAGAAGCTGGCTTCAAAGTCACAAGCTTCAATTGCTCAGGAAAACAGTGGTGTGTTAAGTGTTCTCTCTCATTAATGAAGGGCTGTGTTGTTGCTTTTGAAATCCAAATGGAAAAGGAGCAGAGGACATGGCATGATCATGAAGACTTTAGGAGGCTTTGGGCGTCATTTCCATCTTATAACTGCTATGTATGATGCATTAAAAAATTACTGGGTAGGATTCCTTGAGCTGGTCAAACCAAATAAGCAAAATAGGCAAATGGCTGAAAGACACTTAAGAAACATCCTTAGATCGCTTCTCGGCCTTTTGGCTAAGATCAAGTGAAGAAACATCCTTAGCCATGAGTGAAATGCAAATCAAAACAACTCTGAGATATCATCTTACACCTGTCAGAAGGGGTAAAATCATAAACACCAAAGACAGTCTATGCTGGAGAGGATGTCGAGAAAGGGAATGCTTCTCCACTGCTGGTGGGAGTGCCAACTTGTACAACCACTTTGGAAATCAGTATGGCAGTTTCTCTGGAAAATGGGAACCAGTCTACCTCACGATTCGGCAGTTCTACTCTTAGGCATATATCCAAAGGATGCACATTCATACAACAAGGACATCTGTTCAACTATGTTCATAACAGCATTATTTGTAATAGCCAGAATCTGGAAGCAACCTAGCTTCCCCTCAACTGAAGAATGGATATCAAAAATGTGGTACATTTACACAATGGAGTACTATTCAGTGGAGAAAAAAAAATGGAATTTTCAAATTTGCAGGCAAACGGATGGAACTAGAAGAAACCATCCTAAGTGAGGTAACCCAGTCACAGAAAGACAAACATGGTATGTACTCACTCATATAAGGATATTAGACATAGAGAAAAGGAGTACCAGCCTACAATCCACACCACTAGAGAAGCTAGTAAACAAGGAGGACTCTAAGAGAGATGTACATGGTACCCCAGCTAAGTGGAAAGAGATAAGAACCCTAAACAAATGGGGAGCATGGGGAGGGAGAGGGGAGAAGACATGAGGGATTAGGAAGATTGAGTGGGGAGAGGAATAGAGGAGAACAAGAAAAGAAACACATCAATAGAGGGAGCCACTATAGGTTTAATGAGAAATCTGGCACTAGGGAATTGTACAGAGATCCACAAAGATGACAACAACTAGGACCCTAAGTAATAGTGTAAGGCTACCGTCAATGCCCTTCCTCTATAATGAGATTGATGACTACCTTAAATGCCATCCTAGAGCCTTCATCCAGTAGCTGATGGAAGCAGAAGTAGAGATCCAGCTAAGCACTGAGCCAAATTCCTGGAAACCAGTTTCAGAGAGGGGGGAGTGATGAACAAAGGGGTCAAGACCATGCTGGGAAAACCCACAGAAACAACTGACCTGAGCAAGTGGGAACACATAGACCCCAGTATGACAGCTGGAGAACCAACATAGGACCAAACCAGGCCCCCTGAACTCAGGTGTCAGTTAGGAACACCGGGCAGCCTATGGGGCCTCTGGCAGTGGAACCAGGATGTATCCCTAGTGCACAAACAGACTTCGGGAGCCCATTTCCCATGGAGGAATACTCTCTTAGCCTAGATACACAGAGGAGAGCCTAGGCCCTGTCCCAAATGAGTTAACAGATTTTGATGATCCCTTATAAAAGGCCTCACCCTCCCTGAGGAGTGGATAGGGGATGGGATGGGGGGGTCTGTAGGGGGAATGGGAGGTTGGGAAGGAGGGGGAACTGGGATTGATATGTAAAATAAGATTGTTTCTAATTTAAATAAAATCTATTAAAATATTTCAAGTTCTTTTTCCTCCACCCTTATGAATCTTTCTTAGTTTGTTATTATTATTGTTGTGTTGCTTTGTTGTTTTGGCTTGCATATTTAAGACAGCATCTCACTATGTAGCCCTTGTTGTCATAGAACTCATCATGTAGGCCAAGCTGGCCTCAAACTCACAGAGATCTACCTCCCACTGCCTCCAAGTGCTGCAATTAAAGGCATGCACCACCACCTGCCTCTTCGTTAGTTTTAAACTATTCTTTTTCATGGAAATAAACCTACTCCACCTCCTCACTAACTTTCATCTCAAGTACTTTTTCTGAGTAGACTTATAGCATCATGGGCTATAATGATGCCTAAATGAGATTATAGTCAAAGCATCCTTTAAAGATGAAGAATGCTCAGGACCTTATTTTAACTATTTCCTAACAATACATTCCTCACTCTAACTTTTGCCCAGATATCATCAACTCTTGCTAAATAAAAACTGAAATTTGATTCGATTCTCAGGAGCCAGGTAGAGACAAGGGACTTGCAGAAAACATTTAGCATCTCCAATTAT